TTTTTTTTTTTTTTTTTCTTTGTTTCTTCTTTTTTTACAGTTTCAGCACATTTTATTTTTTTAATTTGAATTGCCCTCAGACATCCTATAGAGACGGCCTGCACAGTAATTTCCGGATTTGTAGCCATCTTTAAAACATTTACACTGTGGTTTTCCTCAGCGCGGTACATCCATAAAAATAAAGAAATTCATTTCTCTCCATCCGCGGATTTCTATTAAATTCCTGCTTGCACGTGGCGCTATACGGTTGATCGTCAACTAGATTTCACAATTTTATTCGCTATTGTGATATTTCACCGAACCAATTTCCTTTATGTTGCAGGGAGTTTAATTTACAGGTTAAGAGGAGTTGACCCGGATAATGACCAACTGACCTTTGGGGTCAAGGATCCCAGCAGCAAAGAGGTTTTGCGAATCGAAAACTTGGGCACAAACGAAGCCAACGTTTATCTAAACAAGGAATTGGACCGCGAGGTAAGTGAACACTTTCTAACGTTCATGATGTACTCATCAAGAACTGGCATTTCTTAGATCATAGAAACTTACAGGGATATTGAGTTCTCCCTAATTCTACTGTCTATAAAATCTTTGCTCTAGAAAATCGCAAGTAATGCATAAATTCTCCTACTTTAGTATCGATTCAGTTCATACCTCTAAGTTTTCCTTTATTATTACGGCAGACTCAAAGAATTTCCCACAATTTTCTGAAATTATCAGTAAAATTTTCAAATCTTACACTCTTTCTTTTATCCCTCATTGTAACTTTTCAAAATTGCAAACTACAAACTTTTTCGGTCTTTTGTCTTGTTAGACTTGACGTCCTCTTTAATTGGCCCCTCTAAAAATCGTTTCATTTCCATATATTGAAATAGATAGAAAACAATGTCGCCAACTTTCTGGACTGGCCAGCGGCTGATTATGAAACGGCTTTAAATACGCTCCTAAATCTATAAAATACTCTCTAGATCGGAATCTTTATCTGTTTCTTCCATGAAAAGATTCTTGCAAGTAGGGTACAAATGGACTACATTTACAATTAAGAACTACAATTTCTGGTTCAATTCAAAAACAAAGTATGTATCATTAGTTTGTCTACAGACACGTCAGTTTTTACGGATTAGCCTGAAATTGTAGTTCCTAATTGCAAAATGTAATCTAAATGTCGAACAAGCAGTTCACATACATCGCAATGCTGCCGTGATAAGGAAAAACGTCGTATGAACATTCGAGAGTTGTCAAACTTCCTCAAATAAAATTTGTATTTTTAGGGAGAGTCGTGTATATTATCTCTCGACATAGATTAAGATGTGATTTTGAATACAATGCTCTGAAAAGTTAGAGGATAAACGCCCTCAGATTTTCCTGAAAATTCGTATTTTATCAGAGGAAATTCAGCAAAACTCTGAAAGCTCATGCAACGTTCTGCCTCAACTCGGCAGAATGGTTGTATTTGGATAACTAAAGAGCAAAACCACGTATCTCCATCTGCGAGTTGGGAGACTTCCTGTCACACTTTATTGGTGGGGCTTGGAGGAAAAGGCGCATAAAAGCAGTTTTTATAAAAAAAAAATTGAGATATCGTCGATTCCAAGTAAAACTAGTCTTTATGCATATTCTGTAAAAAATTCGCTCCAAAATTCGAATTTTTAAGCATCAAAAAGTCAGTTTGAACTTTTTTCCGCCGTAAAGATCCATGTAATCTTAAAACTTCAAACACGTTTTTCTCGAAATAGTAAAAACTGCACTTATCCGCTTTGTCCTCCAAGCCCCTCGTTTTTTCTTTGAATAACTAGCCAATACACTTTCTTGAGAACTGCCTTGATTTTTCCTCCCTATTAGCAGATTGTTTCGTAGAAGTTTCAAGCTGTAGGTATAGTTGACTTGTTCTCCTCGAGGAAATAAAATAGGACCAGAGATTTAGAAGCACCGCAAAGCTGCCATCCTAAGGAAGAACGCCGTATGAACATTCAAGAGTTGTCAAATTTCCCTTGATAAAACATGCATTTTTAACAACATTCATGCATATTTTTCCTTGAAATTTCCAGATATCATAGATTAAATTGCGTACGAAATTGTCTAAAAATTTTGGAAAATAATACGTGCAATTTTCCCAGAAAATTCGGTTTTAATCGGAGGAAACTTGGCGACTCTCGAATGTTCATACGGCGTTTTTCCTTGGCACGGCAGAATGGAGATACTCGGTTTCGCACTTTGTCCATCGACTTATTTTTCACGGTGACTCACTAGTTTTACGTTCTCTCCTCAGGTGCAAGACGAGTACGCGGTGGTTCTGACCCTGACTGACGGGCGGCTAGGCGAGGGTAATTTCATCACTCAGAGTTTACTGCTTCTGGTCGAAGATGTGAATGATAACGAGCCGATCTTCAAGCCTTATCAGTCGACGATATCCGTGCGGGAGGATGCGCCCCCGGGCGTTCTCACCACCGTCGAAGCCACTGACGCTGACGAGGGCCCTTACGGACAGGTGAGTCTCTCTCAGAGCTGCTGTCAGAAGCGGAACCAGCAATTTGGCAACACCGGGTTTTCTCCATTTAAACCTTAGTTGAATAATCGATTCTTGTCGGAGCACCTGGCCCCGCTCCAAGAATCGATGCTTTTCCATAGGTTTCAATAGAAAAAAGACAATGTAGCCAATTTGCTGGATCCGCCAATGGCTGCTGTTACCTCGGTGAACAACACTCTTGGAGGTCCGTATAGTTAATAACCAAAGAGACGTGACGATTTTGGAAAAATCTAGTTGTTGCTGTCTCGAAAAACTTCTGCATGTGTACTAGGGGGCGTTACCTGACCCACAGTAGTGGTCTTGAACTCAAAAAAATGAGACAAAAATGTACCCGAAGTGTAAATCATACGCCTGAAGAGCAAAGCGCCTAAGGGATTGACAATGAGTCGCGAGGCGGTCTTAGTGATCTTGAGGCATAAAAAAAAATGCGACAAAAATGTATCCAAAGACGGTTTGCAGGGGTCGAGCCTATGGTGCGTGTGAACTTGAAATCGCAAAAGATCAAAATCTTGGCTGATCTTATTTTTGACAAACCGCAATGTGAAATTTTAATGGTAAATGCAAGTTTTCTACTGATTTTGATCCGGTTTTTTATTTATTTGTCCATTGAATCGTTGTCGATCGGTTTTCGTTTTTACTTTTCGCTCGATTCATGTCGATCGAATACTTACTCTCTAGTTGCATGCAGACTTCCTATTTCTTCCTATTTCCTTCCTCTTTTTTTTAAACTGAACGATTCGCCTTCTGCTGCGTCTGCAGCCATTGTTGTTACGAATATGTTGTGCGCACTGATTTTAACTCATTACATACTCGACGGTCCGAAGGCGTTTTGCATGAGCAAGTAGCGCTATCTGTCGGAGAACGAAAGAAGTAGAGATTTAGCGATTCATTCAATATCTCAGTTCTGTTGTTCTCCAACAGGATGCTCTGCTTGCGCACACAAAACGCCTTCGGACAGTCGAGTATGTAATAAGTTAAAATCAGTGCGCACAACATATTCGTAACAACAATTGCTACAGACGTAACAGAAGGCGAATTGTTCAGTTTAAAAAAAAAAAAAGATGAAGGAAATAGGATGAATAGGAGGAATAGGAGGAATAGGAGGAAATAGGAAGTCTGCATGCAACTGGACGGTAAGTTTTCGATCGACATGAATCGAGCGAAAAATAAAAACGAAAACCAATCGACACTGATTCAATGGACGAATAAATACATATAAAACCGGATCAAAATCAATAGAAAACTTGCATTTACGATGAAAATTTCAAACTGCCACTTCTCGAAAATAGGATCAGCCAAGATTTTATTTTTTCACGATTTCAAGTTCACACGCACCATAGATTCGCCCCCTGCAAACCGTCTTTAAATACATTTTTGTCGCATTTTTTTTTTAAAATTTATTTTTGCCTCAAGACCACTATGACATTGGCGGATCCAGCAAATTGGCAACATTGCCTTTTCTCCATTTAAACCCATAGAAATGTATTGATTCTTGGAGGGACCGGGTGTTCCGACAAGGATCGATTATTTAGCATAGGTTTAAATGGAGCGAATCCGGTGTTGCCAAATTGCTGGATCCGCCTCTGCCACTATGACCGCCTCACGCGACTCAACCCCCCAGGCGCTTTTGCTCTTCAAGTGTTTGATTTACTCTTTTGAGTTGCAGTCAGGATGGATCAGGATCCTACTTGCTGCATGCTCTATTGCCACCCTTAACAGCGCTCAGGGTGGCAAAATTAAATGAAATTCAACATCATGAAATTTCTCTCGAAATATTTCCGGAAATTTCAGAAATTAATAAAAGTTAAGACATTTTTAATGGAGAATCAGATGCCAAAGATCAAGATTTCTTGGAATCAAGTGCGGGTGCCATACCTAGCCCTCGAAAAAATACGTTTCATAAATTTCAAATACCCCTCACAGGCCCGTGAAATTTCAGAAAATATTACATGGAAAATGCCAATGTTTCATGACTTACTCACGTTTCGTGCCACCCTGATTGCGCTTTTATTAAATGACGTTAATTTTTCACAATTCAACACGTTACTCTAATTAAATTATATTTGATAGTAAGATACACCTAAATTTAAGCCGTATTTCCTAAGTCAGACTTGACCGGGCTCTCATCTAGAGAGTATCACCTATTTCGATAGCTGCAAAAACTCAGGGTAATGGGCTCAGTAGAAAAAACGAGCGCAATGATCGTTTATTTAAACCATCAGAAATGTGAAAGTGGCTGATGAAAATAAAGCGGGGAATCGGAGCGGCGCCCGTCAATTTGAAAAACGCGGGCTAAATTCGAAATGCGCGCGAATGACATTCCCGCCATTTTTTGTCAAACTGGGAACGCATGGAATGAACCGGTTTTAACCAAACAAAATGCCTGGTTCGAAATTTGCCGTAAAATTCCTTTCATTTAAAATAGGGAATAATGGAATGAATTGAGTGGCAATGTAGCAACTTCGGACAAATTATCAGTATTTTTTTTCAGAATTTTGGGAAACCTCCTAAAGTTATGAATATATTTTGTGTGCCAAGTTCATACTCAAAATCTTAGCAATGAGGTAAATTTCCCATATTTTCAATGTTGTGAGGAACCTAATTTTTTTAGGAATCTTGCAGTGCTGCAGAATTACTTATCAGTAGGTTGTGATTCAGAAGTCGCCTCTCTTTAGATAGAATCCGCCTTTACTTTTGTCTAAAATTGTCTGTTTCAAAATGTTTTAGGTTGTTTATCATATTCAAGAATTGGATGGAGAAGATCACTTATTCTCCGTGTCGACAGTCAATGGCAAAGGAGTCATCCGTCTGGTGGGTCAGCTGGACTACGAACGAAAATTTCTCCATCAGCTAAGGGTTCTTGCTGTTGACCGTTCAAATAATGACCGCGTGAGTTCATAATCAGCTAAAAGAAAATTTTGCACATCTTTTATCAATAGAGCCACATTTATATGCTATGCTATCTTTTTTTTAATACACACTCGTTCAAAAGGTATTGGCAATTTTGATCACCGCAGCAGGTGAATTGTTCACTAATGAAGTACCCACTTACTCAAGTACCTTGCAGTCATCTTAAAAATCCAATAGACCACTAGACAAGGTACGAATTTCAGCTTTCTGATACATGTTTCGTACAATTGGAACTGGCTCACAGTGGAGTATTATACCCGAAAAGCTGGCGAAAAGTCCAAAAAAAAAATTTGGTAAAAGTTTGGTAAAACAGGTAAATAATGATTCTCTGATATCTACTGCATGACATTGTGACAACAGAATCCGCTTAATATTACTGGATGGTCGAGGAAAAAAGGGTAAACCCAGCGGTTTCGCGCGCATCTTAGCTCTAGTTCAGTATTGTTTACGTTCAGCTTTTCAATCAAAGTGTGTATGCAGTGACCGGTACAAGCTACATCTGCAGGCTTATTGGCAGCCATTATTCATGGTAAGTAGTCCCTTTTTACACGTATATTACTATAATTAGAAATTTGATTGTGTGGCATGTATATGCTGTTGCCAAATCGTTCAGTAAAATGCGCATTTTCCATGAAGATGCTTAAATAAGAT